AATGGTTAAAATTTGAAAGACTGAATATACCAAGTTCAATGTTTGTTATGAAACTATAATAATCAAGACAATATAATATTTGCATCTAGATAGACAAAAAAAAAAATGGAACAGAATAGAGAACCCATAAATACACATTTATGAAACATTCTACATATATAAACATTCCACTTATATATAATATTCTATACATGTAATATTCTGTAAAAGTACAAAGGCAATTCAGAGGAGAAAGTATAGTGTTCTCAACAATAGAACAATTACATAACCACATGTTAAAAAAACTCCATACTTTACTCCACATACAAAAATTAACTTGAATTATACATCAAAAATGTAAAACCAAAAACTATAAAACTTTTACAATAAAACATATGATTTTTAAAAAACTTGCAAACTTGGGTAAGAACAAGATATCTTACACATGACACCAAAAGCATGGTCCATAAAAGAAAAAAATTGGTTAACTAGACTTCATCAAAATTAAAATTAACCCTCTTTTAAAGGCACTTAAGAAAATGAAGAGACCCGGGTGTGGTGGCTCAAGCCTGTAATCCCAGCACTTTTGGAGGCCGAGACGGGCGGATCACGAGGTCAGGAGAATCGAACCAGCCTGGCTAACACGGTGAAACCCGTCTCTACTAAAAAATCAAAAAAACTGGCCGGGCGAGGGGCGGGGCGCCTGTAGTCCCAGCTACTTGGGAGGCTGAGGCAGGAGAATGGCGTGGAACCCGGGAGCGAGCTTGCAGTGAGCCGAGATCCGGCCACTGCACTCCAGCCTGGGTGACAGAACAAGACTCTGTCTCAAAAAAAAAAAAAAAGAAAAGAAAAGAAAATGAAGAGACAAAAGATTAGAAGAAAATATTTGCTAAGCATGTATCTGGTAAAAGACTTGTATCCAGAATACATGAAGAAATATGAAAACAGGCAACAGAGACCGACCCCATCTCTAAAAAAATATATGTGTGTATATATATTTATAAGTATATACGTGTGTGTGTATATATATATGAAAACAAACAAGCCAACTTAAAAAGATGAGCAAAGTTATAACAGACACCTCACCAAAGAATATACACATGATAAATAAGTATATGAGAAAATGCTCAACATCATTAGTCATTAAGAAAATGCAAAGTAGAACCACAATGAGATACTACTATATACTTCTTAGAATGGTTAAAATTTGAAAGACTGAATATACCAAGTATTGGCAAGAGTTTGGAGGAACTGAAACTCTCATACACTGCTCTTGGGAATGCAAAATGGTAAAACCAGTTTAGAAAACAGCTCGGCATACTCTTAAAAAGTAAAACATGCATCTACCAAATTCAGTTAGTATATCCCTTGGTAATTGCCCAAAGAAATGAAAGCTTATGTTCATACAACAATTTGTATGTGAATGTTTACAGAAGCTGTGTTTGTCATAGGTAAATCTGGAAACAACCTAATTTACCTATATCAGCAGGAAAATAAACTGTGGCATATCTATAAAGTGGAATACTATTCTGCAATAAAAATAATGAACTACTGATGCACACTATACCATGGATACATTTCAAAATAATTATGCTGAGTGAAAGAAGCCAGCAAAAAAGAGCACATTCATTTACAAAAAAAATTGGAAATGTAAAAACAAATTTCTAGTGAAAGAAAGCATATCAGTGGTTGCCTGGGAATGTGGGAAATGTGGAGAATGGCAAGAGAGATTATAAAGGGTATGAGAAAGTTTTAGGGGTAAGGGATATATTTATTATCTTGATTGTGATGATGGTTACATAGGTGCGTGCATATGTCTACACTTAATCAAAATATGTCCTTTTAAATATAAAATTATACAGTTTTACAACAATTATATCTCATAAAGCTGTTTTAAAAATAACAAGAGGCAATGAAAACTATCTAAATATCTAAATAAAATATTGATTTACCCACCTTCAAATACAGAAGTTGGCTTACTTGTGTTCAAATTCTCCAAAATTTTCTTGAGACTTACATTATTATTTTCTAAAAAGTAAGGTACAAGGATTATGAAATGGCAAAGTGTCAATCCTAATAACCATTAAATAACCATGACAAAGGGTAGGGATGGGAAATTTTTGTAATTTCTAGAAATTAGCAGGATAAAAGTCAATTAATTTAAAATAGTTTTACCCACAATCAATTTTATCAAAACAAGAAATTCTAACTAAAGGAATTTACTTGGCTTAAATAATTAAATTTTGATGCATATATTTTATAGATTTGATGCTAAATGGAGGATGGCTCTTAAAAATATTTCCAGTAGAAAAACCTATGAACTTTAATTAGCTCTCCATGTGCCTATGTTTTCATTATATTTCTAAGACCCAGTTTACCTCTCACATGTAAGAATGGCTTTTATCAAAAGGACAAAATTTAACAAGTGTAGGCAAGGAAGTGGTGAAAAGGGAACTCTTGTACAGTTATGGTGGGAATGCAAATTAGTACCACCATTATGAAAAACAGTATGGAAGTTCCTTAGAAAATTAAAAATAGAACTCCCATGTGATCCAGAAATTTCACTTCCAAGTATATATCCAAAGGAAGTGAAATCAGCATGTCAAAGAGGTATCTGCACTCCCATGTTCATTGCAGCTCACTACTCACAATAGCCAAGACAAAGAATCAACTTAAGTGCCCATTCATCAACAGATGAATAGATTTTTAAAAATATGACATCTATCTATATGTTATAAATATATATGCACAATAGAATACTATTCAACCTTTTAAAAATGAAGGAAATCCTGTCATTTGCAACAACATAGATGAACCTGGAGGACATTATGCTGGGTGAAACAAAGCAGGCACAGAAAGACAAATACTGCATGATCTCACTTATATGTGGAATCTAAAAAAGTTGAAGTAATGGGAGCAGAGAAGACAATGGTGATTACCAGGGACTGCAGAATTTGAGGGGAGAAATTGGTTAAGAGAAACAAAATTTCAGTTAGATAAGAGGAGTAAGTTCTGGAGACCTATTTTAGTGCAAGGTGACTATGGTTCATAATGTATTGTATACTTGAAAACAGATAAAAGACTACATTTCAAATGCTATCACAAAAAATTATAAGGATTTAAGGTGATAGATATGTTAATTAGCTTGATTTAATAATCCACAGTGTACACAGATTTCAAAACATTACATTGTACACCATAAATATATATTTTTCACTTGCCAATTAAAAACTAAACACTTTTGGACTGAGCGTGGCAACTCACACCTGCAATCCCATCACTTCGGGAGACTAAGGTGGGTGGATAGCTTGAGTTCAGACCAGCCTGGGCAACATGGCGAAACTCTGTCTCTGCAAAAAATACACATTAGCCAGGTGTGGCGGCTACTTGGTGAGCTAAGGCAGGATGGCTTGAGCCCAGGAAGCCAAGGCTGCAGTGAGCCATTATCATGCCACTGCACTCTAGCCTGGGAGACAGCGAGACCCTATCTCAAAATAAAAAAACGAATAAAATAAACACTTTCACGGATCAAAAAATAAAATAAAATATACATATACACAACAGCTATCCCAAGCACATAGTAAAACTAAAACTAGGACTTCGTTAAGCTCAAAATAGATTGCTCTTTCAAAAAGGATTCACCATCAACAGATGCTTGTCTCAAGATCTCTTGGAATGTCTTGTTGCTTACTGGAATTCCGGCACTCAAAAGTTTGGAGCTCAGTTCATTTACAGGCATTGTATCATTTCTGATACTATCAAGAGTTTTAATCTCTTTAAATAAATCTGTAAATACAGGAAGAATAGAAAACAGATAAAGAAGTTGGGGCAAAGCCCCTTTTAAGATATAACATCCACAGCCTACCGTAGAAGACATTCTGAGTTAAAGGGCTTTTAAAACATACCTATGGGCTTTGTTTTTAGAAGTCAGTTAAATAATAAAAAATGTTCAACATACCCCTAGCCAGGTAAAAATTGAGTTTCTGCAATTTTTTTTTGTAAAGTCCACTTTTTTCAGTAACTGTTATCCCTGAAAGGTGTTTCTGCTACATGCTCTGGTCTTTCACAGACTGCAAAGCTTTTCAAGAACAGGTAGGCAGGAGGTAGCTCTTAGAATGAGGCCAAGAAGCCAAATAGTTGGGGAAAGGAAAACACTAAAAATATAAATTTGCTACAGACTGAAAAACAGTCATATACTATCTTAACATCAGAGAGTGTTTATCTCTTACCAGTCTACCAACTAATTTTAAGAACACTAGATCTTTCTTGTACTTTCCTTAATTAACATGTTTCACTATAGGTGAGGAAAATAAGCATGTGGCTATTAATAAAGGTGCGAGAAAACTGTACTAGAGTAATGGGAAGGATGCATACTTTTACAATAAAGCATAATACTGAGACAAATTATTTGTTTTAAGGAAGCATATTCTAGGTATGTAATTCTAAATAATTCATTATACAAAAGCATAAATTGAATATGATAAGGAATAAGAAAGCAGATTACAACATTTCAAATAAAGCAAAGCAAACTTAGGAAAGTGTTGAAAATACAGAGAGAAACAAACTATATTTTAGAAAATATAGGATACCGTAAAATGACCTAAGAAACTGGTTTTCAATTTTTATTATTTTACTATACTTACTGTTGAATGGTGTGGATGGTTTAGGTGAATTAGTGAAAACATCAATTACATCTTTTAAGATCACTTTTCTTTCTGAAAAGTTAAGAAATAAAGTAGGATTTAAATAAAGCAGATTTTAAATTCATTAAGGTAGGAATCTGGTATTATTTTAATATTTCATCCAGCTTTCAAACCCCAGTGATCATAATGCATAGTAAGAAATACTTCTTTGATGGACATTTGGGTTGGTTCCAAGTCTTTGCTATTGTGAATAGTGCCACAATAAACATACGTGTGCATGTGTCTTTATAGCAGCACGATTTATAATCCTTTGGGTATACACCCAGTAATGGCATGGCTGGGTCAAAGTATTTCTAGTTCTAGATCCTTGAAGAATCGCTACACTGTCTTCCACAGTGGTTGAACTAGTTTACAGTCCCACCAACAGTGCAAAAGTGTTCCTATTTCTCCACATCCTCTCCAGTGGGGGAGGGGGAGAGGGATAGCATTAGGAGATATACCTAATGTAAATGACAAGTTAATGGGTGCAGCACACCAACATGGCACATGTATACATATGTAACAAACCTGCACCTTGTGCACACGTACCCGAGAACTTAAAATATAATAAAAAAAAGAAAAAAAGAGAAATACTTCTATATTGTGAGCACACACACAAACAAAAATACAAGTTTTATAAAGCAATACTCACCCTTATTATAGGTGATACACTCTAATATCTTCTAACAAATTTCAAGTTATGCCATTTCATTTTTTAAATACTATTCAAGACCTATTACATTTATTTCACAACTGACACACAGTTTTAAAAATGATAAACAGGTTATATAGTACAGATATATATACACAGTAATTTTCATTAAAGCATATAAATACTTACAAAGAGTATAAGAGAATGTGTAGGGCTACCCCCTGAAGAGATGTTTTTTACCCAACAAAACAGCAAAGGAAGAGACCAGAAAAAGAAAGAAAAGACATACTTTTCCTTTGCAAAAAAAAAAAAAAATCTGGTGACAAAGAGGAAAAATTCAATTTTTTCTTACTATCATTACTTCCTAATTGACACTGAAACAACAAGCAAACAAAAAACTATACACAAAAGTAAGTATATAAAACTAAGACTCCCTTTTCCAAGCAAGTAAAAATCCTTAGGAAACCTAATAGTCAAATGTCAATTTCTTCTGAATTATCCATAACACTACACATAAATATTTCTTGTTCTTTGGAATAACAGGCTTAAGGATATGCTACCCCGAAATATAACATTGTGACAGAATTGGATATTTAAGCTGAAGGAATCTAAGAAATATCAGGTGCAAGAAGAACTCTGTGATCTCCCTTGTCTCCCCTGAAGCAGGTCTTGATATCCTCATATGAGAGGTGCTCTTCCTATGAAAAAAAAAAAGAGTATCCTTATCTCCGAAGATGGAGGGATGCTGAGAGGAATCAAAACAAACAGGCCATGCTACCCTTAGCTACACTTAGCTCATAGCCACTCTTCTGTCCTCTATTTCATTTTCCATGACTTTCCACTCTTCATCAAACCTAGCGTTAAAACATCCAGATTTAATCACTTTTTCAGGCTTTTATTTTCTTATGAGGGTTCCCATGTCACATAAAACTTACACCAAATAAACTTGTGTGCTTTTATCTTGTTAATCTGTCTTTTGTTACAGAGCCTCAGCCACAAACCTGAAGGACAGAAGGAAAATATTTCTTCTCTACACTTAACTGGAGACTGCTTCAAAGATTATAAACTGTTAGCCCACATACTGAATACAGCATGAGATTTAGTGATTTTCATTGACCTAGACAGTGTAACAGTTATTTTTAAATTTGAATTTCATTATCTTTACATGGGATATATACTCTCAAGTTACTCCATAATTCTCATCACTTTGTCTTATGCTAACTTATTTTATTAATTTGTATTTCATGCCTGACTGCTAGACATTTGAGTTAGATGCCCTTGGCCTGGTTCAAATATTATCCTTCTCTGGAAGCCTACTGTAATTTATTTAAAATGTCACCATTAGAGCTATAACACTGTGCCTCTTGGATTGGCAGGCTAATTTGACCCATCTTTCCCCTCCCTCCTATTCTAAGCAATTACCTTGGCCTTAAGTAGTATTTCCTCACTCCTCTGATTTTTGTTAACTTAATGTTTTTGTAGAAACTGCTTTCGCAAAAGCCTAAACCCCTTGAAGAAAATATACCAAATGCCTAAAGAGAGAGATTTTGACAACTGAGGGATTTCTTCTGAAAAGAGAGAGAGAGATCTGATGAGAAAGAATGAGAATTTCTCTATGAGAGCATCCATTCCCCAACCCCACCCACCCTCAAGGTGCAGGACTGCCATTGTCTTTATCAACTGAATGTCAGTAGAAACACAAGGAAAGGGAGTTTAAAAGCTCTTCCTCCATGCCCATTGCCCTTTCCCAAATTGTAGTGTGACACTGGATTGGGAGGGAGTCCCAGTAAATAACCAGTCAGCCCTCAGGGTCAGATTTAATTCAATTAAAAGAAAATAAAGCAACTGCAATTTCTGGTACTATAGCAGCTAGACATCTGGATTAACCCTCCTACTGAAGATGACAAAAAAATCTAAATAAAATATTACTTATAAAAAATCTTAACTGCTTCAATTTGCTGCCAAGAAAGTAAGAAATTCCCAGGCCAAAAAAAATTGATGAAGAGCTCTAACTCAAAGCACAGTATCTACTTTTTCAGGCAAAGAGTGTTTGCCAAAGACAAAACAAAAACAAATGGAATGAATTTTAGTTTATATTTTCAAAGGCTCAGACAAAACCTAGGTTCCTCCCAAACTGCACATTTATACTCCTTTAACTTATAAAACTGCTTAACCTAGCATTCAATACCCGCAAAAAATATCAATAATAAAGAAAGGTTCCTCCTTTACAGGTAATTTGACTCTTCTCTCTGGCTACCTTTAAGGTTCTCTTTCTTTTGGGGTATGCTGCAGATACATCCTGATATATCTTTGTATGGATTTCCTTTTATTCTATGTGGAATTCACTGGACTTCTTGAATCGGTAGGTTAAGGTCTCTCTCAATTCTGGAAAGTTCTAAGCTACCGCCCCTCAAATATTTTCTCTGCAACCACTCTATCCTCTCTTCTCCCCTGTATTGATGTATATTTTTTATACCTCTTCCTTCTATCTTCTATGCCTCTTAACCTATTTCCTATATAATCTGTCTAGCTGCATTGTGTACAACTTCTTCAAACTAATTTGCAGTTCATATTTCTCTCTATGCCTACGTTCAATCTGCTGATATTCTTGTCCACTAATTCATTTTCATTATTATATTTTAAATTTCTAGAAGTTGTCTCTTTTTCATATCTGTGTGCTCTTTATAGGCTTTAGGTTCCCTTAGATATTTTCAAGTTTCTCTTTTATTTCTTTGGAAGAATACAGAAGAATATGACTACAGAAAGAGTGAAATTTTTAAAATGGAAGATATGTACACCAGAAAAAATATTACTTCAGGCTAGACTGGCATCAGAGAAAATATACTTTAAGGCAAAAGCCTTACTGACAATGAAAATTCAACTTACAACAGGCGAAAAAACAGTTTTAATATCTTTAGGAATCTATAACAAGTTTAAATTGAAATACATCTAGTAACAATGACTTGAAATATACAGAGTAAAAAATTGACAGAACTACAAGGAGAAATAAACAAACTATCATTACTGAAGATTTTTAACACGTCTTTCAATAAATGACAGGACAAATAGACAAAAAATCAGTAAGGACATAGAAGACTTGAAAATATGATTAATAAATGACCAAATATAAAAGACTGACTCAACAATTGTAGAATTTCTTTACAAACGCATAACATTTTCCAAAAAGTGATCATGTTGTGATCCATAAAGCAAGTCTTAATATATTTTAAATAACTAAAAACATATAAAATATGCATTTAAAATAACTGAAATTACAGAAAATATATTCACTTACTGCAATATAATTAATCCAGTAAAAACAAAAAACACTCCCAAACTTGGAAATGAAGAAACACTTCTAGAATTGCCCATGGATCAAGACAGAAATCATTATAAAAGTAAGAAAAATAATTTTAACTAATCAATAATTTTAAAACTACATATCAATACCTGGGGCCATGTAGCTAAAAAAGCAATACATAGGGGAAAATATATATGCTTAAAACCTTACATTAGAGAAGAAAAAAGGACTAAAATTTCATGAGCTAAGCATCCATCTCAAGAAGTTAGAAAAAGAGTAACAAAATAAACCTAAAAAAGTATAGCGAAGAAAATGATAAAGACAAAAACATAAATGAAATGAATAATAAACATATAATAAAGAGGATCAAAAAGTTGACTTAGTTATTGAAATGTACAAACCATGAGTATAAATTATCTTAAAAACAGAAAAAAGACAAAAATGAGCAAGACAAGGAATGAGATGGGAATATTACTGCAAATGCCACAAATATTACAAAAATATTTAAGATCTTATTATTAAAAATCATATAGTGACTAGCCTAGCCATCATGGCAAAACTCTGTCTCTACTAAAAATTAAAAAATTAGCCAGGCATGGTGGCACATGCCTGTAATCCCAGCTACTCGGAGGCTAAGGCACGAGAATCACTTGAGCCTGGGAGGCAGAGGTTGCAATGGGTCAAGATCATATCACTGCACTCCAGCCTAGGCAACAGAGCAAAACTCTGTCTCAAAAACAAACAAACAAAAAATAGTATAGTATTAGAGTGATAAATTTTTCAGATGAAAAAGTCAAAGTCTTAGGAAAAAACCAGCTTACCCAAATTGGCTCATGAATAAACAGAAAACCTAAATAATCTTACAATATGAAAGAAGATGAATCAGTAATCAAAAACCTTCCCAAAAGAAAATGTCAAGGCTCAACTGGCTTGTTTTGTGAATTCCACTAGACTCAAAGGTAATACGCAATCTCAATGCTATAGAAACTATTCAGAGATTGGGGGTGGCTGGCAAGATGACCACTGAAACTATTCCAAACAATAGAAAAAGAAGGATTCCTCCCTAACTCATTTTATGAG